GCTGCCTAGGTGTTCTTTTTTTTTAAATAATTTTTTTGATATAATTCTAAGAAAATAAGAAAAAAATGTAAAACAATTTTAAAAATTACAAAATAAACAGAAAAATCAAACATTTTTCTATTCATTGTCATGTTTGAAAAGCAAGATTTAAGGGAATTACTTGGCATTTAATTTTTTTTTAACATAATTTTCATAATATATTAAACATCGTAGTTTCATTAGGCAAAAAAATAAAAAATAAAATTTGCTCAGGCACTTTAGGCACCATTAAGCGTGCCTAACAGTGCCTAGCCGTGCTTAATTGATCTAGGTGGTGCAGACCGCATTGAATCTCCGCCTAGAGGTTGATGTGGGCGGAATGGCACCACCTAGAGCCTAGGCATCACCTAGGCCTGCTTTTTACAACATTGAACCAAACTATGAACTCCTCCAAAAGAGAATAATTTGATAAGTGTTGAAAGAAGGATGAGAGAAAAAAGGCCCAGTAAAGTCTAGAAGAAAAGGAATAGCAGCAAACTATTTGACAGCAAGCAAGGAAGCAAAATGGCTGAAGGCTTTTATTAATTAAAACGTCGAAAAAAAAGTTATGTGGAGAGAGTTTAAATATTGTGCAAGCTGGGATAAAAGCCCAGTCCATATGCATAATATTTTAAGATTGTTTTACCGATACAAAGAAACAAAGCCTAGATGTGAGGATCAGGAAGTGTAGAACACACCTGGAATGGTACAGTTGCATTATTTTACTCTCCATCCTCTCTGATCTAACAACTGATCCCCCAACAAGTAACCTGCATGTGCAAAAGGGAAACAATTCATTAACTAAAAGCATTAGTATGTATTTCAATTTCCAACCAAATTTGGGAAACAAATCCGTCTCAATTTACCTCTCTTTGTAGAGGACAGGATATATCCGTGTAATTCCAACTAAAGTTCGAGGGACAAGACCACCGTCACTCTTAATGCACTTAAAAGCCAGAGGATCACCAACAGTCATACCTAAATAAATTGATTGCAAAATCATGCATAATGAGGCAAGGGAAAACATTGTAAATATCCTCTACAGATGTAAAACTGGTTAACAAGATCCATAATCACCAGGGAAGATAATCTAAAACAAAGCTTACAAAATCCCAGTCGATCAGCCCAATGAGCTCTATATGTCCCATTTATGTTCAAAAGTAAATTAACGGTCTTTGATGCCTGAAGTTCAAAGAAAAATAAAATTAGATAACAACTGCTGAAGGAAAGTACATAATTCAAGAAATTAACTGCATTTGAAACATAAAATCTGCTGCAACCTCAAGAGGTGAAACAGGCCCAACCCAGCCACACAATTTTGCTCCCCATATCTTCAGGATAAAAATAAAATGGTCAGAATGAGGCCAAAAATGCTCTAATACAGAAATTAAAAGGAAGAAGAAGAGAAAATGTGGCTCAATATTTTACCCGAAGTTTTTGTCCTACAAACAATTTTCCAGCAGCAAGCTGCTTGGACAGTAATACATCCAAAACAGCACCCATTGAATACCTGCAAGCAGCCATGAAACATTTTTCATGCCAAAGAAAAGGGAATTTCAAATCTTGTGTCCATGTAACCTATAAATTGCCATTTCCTTACCATCCATCTGTTAGCTCAACCTTTGCCCCACTGCTATTTTGAGCCCCATTTGCTACCATAGAAGGAGTCTCAATCTTTGGCTCATAATATGAGTGAATTGCTGAAATGCATAGCACCAGCATCGTAGAAGGTGGCGTATCACCTTCTATTATTCTCTTAATTGCAGAATGGTGCCCATGGTTTATTTCTCTCTCATATCTACACAAATGGATCAAAAATGATCTTATCTTATGGGTCTTAAGAAACCAATATAAGTAAATTGCTGGATGTAATTGAGATACCTGTACTTCAGCTCCTCAAGCACAGAGGAGACTGTCAAAAACTTTCCAGCATATTTGGCTGGATAGCATTGCTCATAACAGCCAAGTTTCCAAACTATCCATCTATAGTGATTTCTGACCCACCTACATACACATGCATGCAGCATTGGTACAAAGTAAATCTTATATAAATACACTACTTATTTGATACATGTGACAAAGAAGATATCACCCTACTAATGATAAATGCCATGTGTAAATATGAATTTTTTCTTCCAGAAAAGGAAGAGAAAGAGGATAAAAGGAGGGAAGCAGACGTCCAATGCAGAAAAATTACTCTTTAGAAACATATTGCATCAAAGCTCCAGATCTGACCAGCATGTCACAAATAGCTTCAGCTCCAATGCACTCTGCACCAGATTCATCTCTAAACATGTATCTCTCTGCATTCCCTGGATTTATTCCTTTTACTTCAGCTGACATGGATTCCAACTAAATTCCATGAGAAAAAAAGAAAACAGTGTCAGTGGAAAGAATCAAATTGACTTCCAGAACACAAATGATCTTAATTAGACAGTGTACCAAGCTACAGCCTGATGGAGGCACTGCAAAGTATTCCTTTATGTATACTCTTTCTACCCGAAATGGATATCTAGTGGAAACTGTTCTTTTGCAGCACAAGCTTTCAGATGATAGGGGAGACAAACCTGTTGAAACATCTAAAAATAAATTAGGAACATATAAGCTGTGCTCAACAAAAAATGTGACTTTAGAAGCCTTCATGATTTACCATTAAGAACAAGGGGCACATTTCTCTTCAATGGAGTCAAGAATTTGGAAGTGCGAGGTCTCTTAAATGGAGAAACAGTACTTGTCCTTGCAAATCTCTTTTCATTCATAATTTGTTTATTATTTGCCACAGGTGAGGGAATGCTGTTTGAAATATCAGTCAGTGGTCCACCATATGACCTCCCAACTGAATTGATCCTTGAAACAGTACCACTTGACATGAGTAAATTGGGCTTGGAAGGCTTATTGCCTAAGGACTTCTCCTTAGAATCAGTCAAGACACAACCACTTGCATTTACAACTGCATCAAATTTTTTTATCAGGTTGCTCCCTGATGAAATGTTTTCTGAATTGACTAAAGACCTTATTTGCTTAGAAGATTTTAGTGGGGATATGAAACCATCCGGTGTATGTTTACTCTTTGTTACCCCTTGGTGGGAAGAGAAGCTGGCCAAGTCATTTTCCTTGTTCCTTGATGTATTGTAGAATCTTCTCTCATTAAAGGATGAAAAGGATAAATCATTCACATCAGCTTCATCAAAGATGGTAACCAGCTCTGGGTCACCAAGAAGACTCCTTGCACGTTTCAACGCATCACTTGAGACAGAAATTGACCTTCCACCAGCTGTCTGAATCCTTGATGTATGGTGGAATCTTCTCTCCTTGGAAGATGAAAAGGATAAATCATTCACATCAGCTTCATCAAAGGAAGTCACTAGCTCTGGGTCACCAAGAAGACTCCTTGCACGTTTCAATGCATCACTTGAGACAGATAGTGACCTTCCACCAGCTGTGTGGAATTTAATAATCGGAGGTGATTTGGAAGCTGAATTAAACATTTTGGAGGGCACTGCAGTTGAATCATTCTCATAGTACAATTTACTTCCTGTAGAACCAGTCTTAAAGTTTATTGAATATGTTGGAGCTGATTTAGATTCTACACTCCCATTATTTAGTATGCTCTCTTTGTTCTCCATATTGGTCAAACTCTGCCACCCAAAGGACTCTTTATTTTCAGACACTCTCCTTGGCTGTTGGAAACTTTGAAAACTACAATGATCAATGTCTTCTTCCAATCCCAACAATTTCTTGGCTCTAAGCAGACCAGCAGAAGAAACATTAACTGTTTTTCCCGAGCCTGTTTGGAATAGAGAGCTAGATTGACTGCAACCACTGCTTCTAGGAAACACTTCTTCTGCATAACAGATAAGTTGAGCAAAACAGTTTCCATAATTGTACAACTCGTGAATCCACGGAGGAGTTATCAACATCAACATCAAGTACAATGCGCAGTTATTTCTTTAGTTGCTAAACTAAATGGAAACTAAACTGTATAAGGGTTTGAGGGAAAATATATTTGACATGTAACACCCATCACACCAAATTTTCAGATTCTATGAGAAATGTAGAAACAAGCAGATTGAACTAAAAACAAGAGAACAAGAAAATGTAAATTTTAGGGTTTATCCGAATTAAAGGATCAGCCATCAGTTTCCATAAATACGCGACTAAAAATAAAAAATAAAAATCAGACTGACGATTTTTGAATATGAGAGTGAATCGCATACCGGGAATGAAGGTTCGATCCTCAATTTCATCGCCAAGAACAGAAAATGCTTTAGCAATCGAAGATTCTTTCAGCACCATCGATTTCCCTAATCCGGTCGTAAACATCGGAGCTTCCCCGTCTCTTCCACTTCCGTTCTCCAGAAGCTTCGGAAGTCCTGCGGACAATAAAATCGCACATGCACACATTCTTTCGCACAGAAATTCAAACAACGAAACAAATCGATTACCTTGAACCAAGAGATCAACCATGGAGGGAAGAGGTGGACTGGCGGCGATGTTCCGATCATTGTCGAGTTTGGAACTGGTAATCCGACCAGAAACCTCCCACCGAAAATCCTTGCCGGCGTCGGAAAATATTTGCCATGTCGACATTCCGCCGATTTTGTTGAGGTTGGGAGCTTTTCTTCAGTCTGTATACCGTACACAGTCTACAGCATTTTACAGAGGTTTTTTTTTTTTAATTGCATTTTGGATTAGGCGGGAAAGTCAAAACGAATTGGAGCGTTAAAATTGGGCTAAGTCAGCCCAACCATGGGCTGTTATGATATCTGACTTGTCGGAATTGGATTAAATAGGCCTCCGAATCCAAACCGTAATTCCTTTGATTTTGAATTGGGCTTGGACTCTTTAAGATTGCCTTGGGCTAAATATAAAATATAAAAATTGTGTGATTCTATTCCGTATTTCCGTTTAGTATCTAACTATTGCCGGTGGGGGCCTCAGGTCCAATCGTTAAGAATTTAGGGCGTGTTTCATTGAGGAGAAAATTTTTCCCATCTTTCTTTTTATAGAATTATTTTTATATGTTTACGCCTTAATACTATAATTAAAATAGTAAAAATAATATTATTAACCTTTATTTTCTTAGACAATTCTTAATTAGTAAAGTTTTTTGCTTATACTTTTTTGAAAGAAAAAGTTTTATCTCAGTTTTTTTTGTCACTTTTTTATCAAATACAAAAAAAATAATAATTTAACCAAATTTTAATAAAATTTTATTACAAAATTATCAATCTTTTACATAATTCTTTTAAACTTTTCATACAATTTTTTCCAATAAAATTGATCTTTAACCAAAGAAATTTTTTTTATCTTGATTACATAATATAAAGTAATTATTTTTTATTTCTTATTATACTTTATATGTATATTATGTGATTTAAATTTAAAATTTTTTATTTTTAATAAAAAAAATAATTATTAAATTATTTAAATCATTTATTTAAGAAAAGAAACCTTAAAGGTTCACACAAACAAAGAAAAAATAGTGAAGAGGGAAAGGCACGCTCAAAGTCTTACACCGACGGAGTAAAAATCTATTGTGATAATAATAAAAAATCATGTTAACCACAAAACTCCAAGTAGTCCTAGCAATAATAGGGTAATTTAGTTTGGTCGTATCAAATTAAATTATTTCTCGAATTGAATTCAATTTTTAAATCAGAACCAATCACTAATGTGATCACTTGAGCTACCATTCCCATGCATGATTATTTTAGGAAGCAAAGTTGGACCAGAGTTAAGGGAGTAGGTAGTAGGTACGCCTTATAATCTCGGCGTCAGAAGTAACCAGACGAGGGGTCCTCCTGATCCTGGTGCATTACCCCCACCTCGAGAACTATTGATCTTAAAACATTTCTTCGGTATAAAAACAAGCGTCCGGTGCGGACCCATCCTAGCTGTGATGGTCGTATTCGTACCAGTTTTTTTTCTTTTTTTAAATATCCGTACACCCTGGTCATTAGATTTTTGTAAAGTAAACTAGTACTTCTCTAGATCAAATGATCAATGATAGAGTTTATTACTCTATTCTTTTGAACCTAACCGTATATTGAGATTGAGGAGAAAGAAGATAGGTGAAATAAGAGAATTTTTTAATTAATTAAATTTTAAAATTAAAATTTGTATAATTTAGTT